GTGTGTGTGTGTGTGTGTGTGTGTGTGTGTGTGTGTGTGTGTGTGTGGCGGTGAACATGCGTCGGCCCCCGAGGCGTCTGAAACTCGCACCCTGAAACACTTCAACAAAACGCTCGGACTGAAAAGAGAGCTTGTGACAGCGAATAGCCAGGCCGCGATCGTCAGTATGTGTGTCACGGCTCTCGCTGCAAAGCATCATGGGTAGAGGCAGGCAGGCAGCACCTGCGAGGTCTGATGGGGGTGATGGTGGTTAGTGGAGAGATTGATGGATTTTTTTTAGGGCAGCTGATGAAACCTCTTACCTCTGTGAGGTGTGTGTGCTGCTACAGATGTTTGTCATAATGAAGATGATGAAGGTGACGGTACTGTGTGTGTGTGTGTGTGTGTGCGTGTGTGTGTGTGTGTGTGTGTGTCACAGGCCTGACAGCAGCAGCCATGGCCGAGCTCCAGAAGCTGCAGAAGATGAAGATGATGATGAGTCTCCAGAACGGCAACGAGTCGGACGACGACTTGCACTCCAACACAGGTAACACACACACACACACCTGTACTGTAGTTGAAAGTAACTAAGTACATTTACTCAAGTACAGTATTACAGTAAAATGTCTTTAAGTTATTTACAGTCCATTCACACACCTTCCTCTTCCTCCTCTTGAAGATCAGGTATCTATATTTAATGTCTTTTTCTCACCTCAGCTTTACAAACACTGTTAAAATATAAAGAAGAAGAAACACACACACACACACACACACACACGAAGACGGAAGAGAAAGTGTCGAAATTCGACCCGAGCTCATATCGTAGAATCGTCGCTGCGCTGGGATCAGTTTCAACATTTTACACTGCAAACATATGGACACATGACAGAGACCTTGTGCGTGTGTGCGTGCGTGTGTGTGCGTGCGTGTGTGTGTGCGTGCGTGTGTGTGTTATGTAAGTGCTGGCAGGTCAAGTTTCAAAACCATTCAGTGTCTTCTTCCGCCATTCGCTCTCTTCTTCTTTGCTTCCTCGCTTCACATTTCTCTCTTTAACTCATTTTATTGTGAGTTGTTATACGTGTTTATACTGTGACTTTTATTTAACGGTACATTCACGTCGATGCAGCATACGAGCAGATACATGTAAATGTACACGGCCGTGGAAACTGCACTGTAGTGGTGCTTCTCACATGGTGAGAACAGTTTCATTATTTATTTCTACTTCCTGTAAACCTCCTCGATGTAAAGACCTCTGAATGAAATGTTCTGCTGTGAGTGGAACAATGTATCTTAACATTTTAGATTCTTATTTAAACTTCAACCAAATTACTGGAATGAAAAAGCTCATTTAAACAATACTCTAGATACAGTACAGTAAGTCTGAATACATTCTAGAGAAAGCACTTGTCCACATATTGAATTTAGGGAAAAACATCAAAAACATTTTATTATAAGCCTTATTTACCTTTTTATATATTGAGCATATTAGAGCTGATATTAGTGTTTATTAATGAACGACCGTATAGATCAACACAGGTGTAATGATGTAAAATATGTCTTCAGGAGACGTTAACACTACGTTATATATTAATGCTAAAGAGTGGGACTCAAAGTAGAGTTTCAGTGTTTTGTTATTTCTCGCTCTTCTGTGGAGCGTTGATGCTGCGTCTCACAGAGGACTTCCTCTGAGAAGACATTTAAATCTCAATCCTGGAAGAATAAAGATAAATAAAATACTGTAAACATCCTGCATTCATAATGTCTCACTCATGCTGCACACGGGAGAATTAAGAGCATTTCTTTATCCGTATGTGGCAGCAGATAAGTGACAAAACAAGTGAAATGATGATAAATATTAATGTTAATGTAAATAATGAATAATAAAGAGTGAAGAGAACAAGTGTGGATGCTTCTAGCAATTATCTCTGATGGTAATGGCTGCTGATTATATTGTTTCGTCTAAAAGTATCAGTCAGGAAAACGTACTAAAGCACTAAGTGACATGTATAGAAACAAAGACTTAACACACACACACACACGCTCTGTTTCCGGGCCACTCCATCGCTGCTGTGTTTGCTTCTCTGAATTATTAAAAAGACAGAATACAAAAAGCAAAGAGAAAAGAAATGAGAGAGCAATCCTTCTTCTGTCTCCACCTCCTCCTCTTCTTCAGCTGACCTGGCAGAGTGGCTGATAGAGTTACTCTTCTTATTCTCTCTCGCCCTGTCCTCCTTTATTTATTCCCTCCCGCTCTTCTTCTTTTATTTCATTCACAGTGTTGTTGTGTTGTGTTGTGCGAGTGCGTTGCAGAACCTGAGACACTCACACCGGCCTGGGAAACTCCGGCGGACAATAGAGGAGAGGGAACGAGTGTACGGATGAAGAGAGAGGGAAATGAGAGAAAGGGATATTTAGGGCGAGAGGAAAGGAAAATAGAAAAGATGTTCTAGTGGGTGAAAGTCGATCGCTGGCAGTGAGCTTCATATCTGTTCTCTGTCTTTATAAAGAGGGACGAGAGGAGAGATGAAGGAAGAGAGGAGAGATGAAGGAAGAGAGGAGAGATGAAGGAAGAGAGGAGAGATGAAGGAGGAGAGATGAAGGAAGATAGGAGAGATGAATGAAGACAGGAGAGATGAAGGAAGAGAGTGGAGGAGCAGTAGTGGAGGAAGTATTGTGATACTAAGACACGAGATGTTTTCATCCACCTGAAGCTCAATCTGAACCCGGATCCTCAGAAGATTGTAGAAAAGGAAATGTGAATTCATGAATGTATTATTCCATCCTCTGCTCGTATGCAAACATCAGCAGTTCTTATCAAGATGAACACTAGGTGGCGCTAACTCTCCAATCAGGTTTACAGACTGTTTACAGAACCTGTTTAAAGCAAACGCTTTATTTGGGGCCAGATTTTAAATGAGACGTGTAGAGCAAAATGTTTTTGGTTTCGGATTAACGCCAACACAGAGAGAGAGAGAGAGAGAGAGAGAGAGAGAGAGAGAGAG